CAACTGAAATGACACATGCATCATCACTCCTCCTTGGTTTGTGCCTGCGGCTCATACCACCTTCAAGGATTCAGGCTTCTTTCCAGTTCGCGATCCAGGCCGATATCGACGTCCGGGACGACACGGTTGCCCACCGGATCTGTGTCCTTCCAGACAGTCCACGGTGTCTCCAAATGTAAAGGAGGTAGCGTAGCTGCCTTGTTGATGGAAGTGTAGCTGGAAAATAATCCGCTGTTCCCAGCTTCGGTGTCAACCTGTTGATCAGGTCTTCCTTGAGACCTGTGACTGGAAGGCCTTCATGAACCAAGGCCTCGCGGAGGTGCTGGGTGGTCATCAAAGCCAGTACATCATGAACGACTCGGCCACGTTCTAGCAGTCCTTCGTCTAGGCTCCTTGGAATAGGTGGCGTTGGAGGTCTCGTTCCTCCAAAGACTGATGTTCTCGATGCAACGGGGCTCCGTCCTCTAGGGCTGGGTGTCCTTTCAGCCTCCAGCGGCGCTTCCGGTAGCCGGTCCTGTGTCGCTGCCGGACCTGGATCTGAGGACGTCGCCCGTAAGGTACGTCTCACATTCTGAAGGATGTCCTCATTCTGATGCTGAGCTCCATCGTCGATCCACCTCTCAATTTCCGCCTCCGCCGCTGCCCTGGCCAGCTCTCGGAGCTTCTTGAGTCTTCGTGACTTCTTTGTACCAAATATCATCGGCACAAACATAGCATACGCCCACTTCATAAGCTCCCAAACCGCCACTGCAGCGATACACGTCATCACCACCAACAACAGGAGTTCACTGGTTCCCGTCATTGGTAAGGGGTCCTTGAGCTTCACGGGCTGTTCTTCAGGTGGGGCCTCCGCGGCTGCTGCCAAAGACTGAATTGCAAGCATCACCAACAGTAGGCATCCTAGCTTCACACCCTCCAAGACCTTCGCCGTGCTCAGACCATCTAAGCCCACCATTCCCCAAACGCCAAGCAGATGCATCAGCCTTGCCTTCGAATGCATCTTCGTCGGAAGATCAGCTGGCTGGTCTTCACCCGGAATGTGCTCCACCAGCAGCTGCTGGTGCTTGATCTTGTCCAGCACGTATGAGTGGCGAATACGTAGGTGCCTAGTCCGCCAACTTCCGGAAGACCCATTCAGGATGTTGCCTGCGGCCTGGTTGTCGATGTACATCTTCGGCGGCAGGCTGCTCGGAAGGAGTTCCTGAACCATAGCCATCGTAGATTCAAGAAGCAACGCGCAGTTCGAGCCCTCTAGGAGTTCTGCCTCGCAGACAGACATAGCCACTAGCGGTTGTTTCCCCGCTTTCCACGTTACAGGAGTGTGACCCAGCATCGTCATTGAACAGCCATAACTTTTGCCCCCGTATGGGGCAAAGGACGCATCGCAGTATCCAGCTAAAGGAATTCTGAAACCAGCCACGTGCCCAGGTAAACTAGAACCCCCCGACTGTTCTGCTGTGAACTGTGT